CTCTCTCTCTCTCTCTCTCTCACTCTCTCACTCACTCACTCACTAAATCTTATTTTTCAATTGAAAAAATGTATTATTTTTATGATATTATACTTTCACTAATATTTGAGGATTTTTTAGACAAAATATTATTTTCTTCAACACAAAAATGTATTAAAAAAGATACTTTTGAAACTAATTTTCAACTTTTTTTGCACATAAAATAACTCATTGAGAGATTCATGTGATAATAATATTTTTATTGATACTAAATAAAAACAACTTCACTAATTGAATAAGTCATATATAGATATTATATGAAAGCCATAAAGGATAATTGAAAATTAAAATAAATTCATTGCAGTATAATTTATATTAGTTTGTATTCATATTACTGTAATTGTTTTTAAAAAATATTAATACCTGTATTTAATTACATTTGTTAAAAAGTCTTTAAATAAAGTAACCATAAAATAAAAATGTCCTCTATTTTCATATAAGTTATAATAATATTCACAAAATACAAAACAACTCATAAAATTAGCATATCTTTATGATTTTCGCCCACACTTTAAGGCAATTATTTTTATACATTTTTCTATTTATTATGTAATACCAACCCTCTCGGTCCTACCTCACTATAAAACAAATTAATATTAGTTTTTAAAAGATTTATTTGTTATTTAATCAAATGTGAAACTTATTAAACATTTATTCCTAAAGGTATTTACAAAATATATTTATTTAGATTTTAAGGCATTATATTTGTATTTTTATTATTAGCTCTCATTGTATGATAAGATTATATTCTCGAGTAAATTATGTAATTATTTTTAATCCATAATAAGTAAACAATTAATGAGTGAATTGGACCTAAAATTAATGTATAGTTTAAGTGTTTGTGTGCTTTTGGTTTTGACCTAAAAATGTAATTTAATTAGATTTGTATGCATGTATGTTATCGTATGAATAATGGATTCAATTAAAAATTATGTTTTTTATTATTTAAATATTGTTTTAATATTGTATCAAATCTATGCAAATTATATACATACAAATAGCTATAAATATATTAGTATATTTTATTATTTAAATTTTGAATATTTTCTTATCATGCTATAAATAATACTGTATTATTAATAATATATACATTTTATTATGTTATAAATTGATAGTGAACTTTGAATTACAAATTTTAAATTTGGTTTCTAATTTTAAATATTATATTATATTAATAGAATAAACTTTTAAAAATTAACAAATTGAACCTACTTTATATATATGCACCCAATGCACCAATGTAAACAATATTGTAACAGAATATAATAATAAAAATGTTAAGAATTCTTGTTAAATGTCATAACATGTAATGTATGCACACTTATTTATACCAACCTTATTTCAGTTTAATGTTAGACTTCACTGCAACTCTTTAACGTTAAATGAGATTCATTTCTCAATTCAATATTGTTTTGCAGAGAAGTTAACAATATATTGACAGTTGTTTTCGTCGGGTGGACATCAGCACTAAAATTCTTACTCACTATACACAAGAATTCACTGAATTGACGATTACGTGATGAATGCGTTTGTATGATTGCATAATACGAGTGAAATATGCAATCATTGTATATAATATAAACTCCGTATTCCTAACAGTATAGCAATCAGTCTATTATACGCTATCGTAACGTCAATTGACAACAATCTCATCAAAAGTGTATTACTGTTACTGTTAAACGGAAAATATTTATTAATTTAGCACTAATTGTGTGTTCAAAAACTACCTACCTACTACATAATGACAAAAACCTTGATCATTGTGATTCTGGACGAGTCGGGAAGTATGGGCGCACAGGTAGGCGACGTGTTGGGCGGTTTCAACAACTTTATGGCCGAACAGAAGCAAGTGGAGGGTGACCAAGCTAGGTTGTACCTGGTCAAATTCAACACCCAGGTGACTGTGGTGCACAACGGGCTCGACCTGAAGTACGTGCCACAACTGTCGCACTCGACCTACCGGCCGGGGGGTGGGACAGCCCTATACGATGCCATCGCGGAGGGCGTGGAGTTGGCAGAGAAGGGCAAGAATCCGGACGAACGGGTGGTCTGTGTGATCATGACTGACGGCGAGGAGAACTCCTCCCGAAAGACCACCAAACAGGCCGTCAAGGATATCATTAGGGGTCATGAGGTGAGGGGCGACTGGACTTTCGTGTACATCGGCGAGAACCCGGAGCGATGGGCTCAGGACACCGGTATGCACCTTGGTAATGTTGCAGCGTACACCCATGGTGACCCCCGGGCTGCACAGATGCAGGCTAACTTTGCCGTCATGAATCTGAGATGCCAAAGTCGGTCCCAATTATTTGGTGCGTTGAGCCCACAGGCCCGTAAATAGTCGGTGGGGGTGTTTATGGGGCAGTCAGTCATCGCATTTGATTAAGAAATCGTCAGATTTTTTAGTGTCAAATGTTTAATCTCTTTAAGCTTAATATTTGTCATTTTAATTATGTATTGATTTTTTGTAAGATTTTTATATTTAATTTTATGTTTTTTTTATTGAATAAATAAATATATTTATGATATTTATGACACGCTATGTATACAGTAATGTTTCGAGATTATATTTATTTTCAAAATTGTAATTTACAAAACTAATATTGTGTTGATTTATTTATTTACTGAAAATATAATTTATAATTAAATAAATTTTCTGTAAACATCAATTGAAAGCTAATAAAAACAACTTAAATATACACTTAAATAGCACTTAAAATTCTGAAGGTATGTTTTAAAGTCAACCATGTTAAATCAATATTTTCTAATTCAAAATATTATTAATTATAATTAAACATCCTTAAAGATGAATATAAACTTAATTTCGAAACATTTTGGCATAAAAAATATATTTAACCAATAAATACAGGAATATTTTCTATAAAATGACTATTAATTTATGTATTAACGAATTTTCAAGAATTTTGTTTATAATATGACAAACTTTTCTTAATAAACATAACCATTTATAACATTACGCATGCCATACGTACAGTTGATTCACAAAATTAGCATTAAATCATTGAAAATGTTTCATGTTTTGAGGTATATATTTGCGATAATTTAAAAGTTAATTCACATAATCAAGTGAATGCAAAAACTGTTAAAACTGTTACTCGTGTTAAGAATTTTCAAAATAAATTTCTACAAAATTGACGTTTTTATAAGAAATGATTAAATCATTAGTGATTATACTATTAGATGAAAACCATAGTATGGACTCAAATGAGACCAACTTTATGGACAATTCTCAGAGAGACTATCCCCGTGTGGGACAGCCACTCTATGAGGCCATAACAGAGGGTCTACAACTGGCCGCAAAGGGAACTCCTAATCCGGACGATAGACTCGTATGCGTTGTAATGAGTGATGGATTGAATGGCAACTCATCCCAAGAGACTACTCAACAAATGGTAAAGGATATCGTATCGGGTTATGAGACCGGGAGGGACTGGACTTTCGTGTATACCCGACAAAGTTGTGGTCAATGGACGACCAGTTATGAGAGGTCTAAGTATTCAATGGTTAACACAAACCCAATGAGACCTAACTTTGCCGTATCGGCACCAAAGAGGTGTGGACTTCCCAATCAGCATAGGAATCAGTTATCCAGGTATGTCAGATAATTAGGTCCTAGCTAACATTGTATAATTGTTTTTATTAATATTTTTTGTAGGAAATTAGTCTACCTGCTCTAAAGTCGACTAAATGAATGCATTTATTATCAAGAGATTTCTTATCAATTTAATTATAATATAATTTTAATTATTGATAACTGAGATTAAATAAATTTTGAACAAATAATTGTGTATTTTTATTATCAATGTATTGAAATAAATGTATTTATTGGACAAATAACATGTCTTTCCCAATTAAAAGTGATTTGAAATTGGATTTCAATATTAATAGACTATTAATAATAGTTGTTTCACCGGAAGTTCAAAATATGTGAACAACTATTGAGCAATAAATGAGTGAAAGTTTATGAATGAATGTATGCTTTACTGAAACACTAGACACCATTTGATCGTTCAATACAACCCATTGATTCACATTTTGTAATAGATTTGTGCACAAATACTACACAAATACTACACATTGTAGTGAATGCCAGACATTAGTCATAGACTGACAGTGAGTTAAGAGTCAACACATGGTTTGCCACACAATCGCTGTTTAATTCACAAGTATTTCATTCATTCATTAAATCACACTTACGTTACATTTAGCCATATATTGCATACATTATGAGCTCCTAATTTAAAACGGCTTTTATCGCTATAATAGCCACTCATTTGAATCCCTAAACAGTTACTACTCCGACAGACAATGGCCTTAAGAGTGGTATCCAAGACATTGATTGTTGTCGTATTGGATGAGTCGGGAAGTATGTCACCGAAACTGACGGACACGTTGGGCGGGTTCAACCAGTTCATGGCCGACCAGCGCCAGGTGCCTAATGACCAGGGATATGTCTATTTGGTCACATTCAACAGCTCAGTGAAAGTCCTCTACAAAGGCGTCCCATTGGATGACATACCGGCGCTCACTGGAGA